GTTAGATGTGGCACATATCCAGCCAGTTAAAGATGTCGGCCTACATTCATCACTAACATTAAGTATCGACCAAACACAGTCTCCAAGCTGTTTAAATGTGGTTCCACACTTATACTTAAACCAGTTTACTATGTGGCTAATTATAGCACAAGCCAGTTAAAAGTGGCCAACCAATCAACTAAGCCAGTTAAATGTGCCCTCACTACATACTAAGCCAGTTAAGATTGCCACATCTCACTAAGACCAGTTAGAGTGTGCCAACTCATCACTAAGCCAGTTAAGATGTGGCTACACTCATCACTAAGCCAGTTAAGATGTGAGCCACTTATCACTAAGCCAGTTAAGATGTGGCTCACCTCATCACTAAGCCAGTTAAGATTGGCACCTTATCACTAAGCCAGTTAAGATGTGGCCACACTCATCACTAAGCCAGTTAAGATGTGGCCCACTCATCACTAAGCAGTTAAGATGTGGCCACCTCATCACTAAGCCAGTTAAGATGTGGCCACACTCATCACTAAGCTAGTTAAGATGTGGCCACACTCATCACTAAGCCAGTTAAGATGTGGCCACACTCATCACTAAGCTAGTTAAGATGAGGGACCACACTCATCACTAAGCCAGTTATGATGTGGCTCACTCATCACTAAGCCACTTAAGATGTGGCCACACTCATCACTAAGCCAGTTAAGATGTGGCCTCACTCATCACTAAGCCAGTTAAGATGTGGCCTCACTCATCACTAAGCCAGTTAAGATGTGGCCTCACTCATCACCAAGCCAGTTAAGATGTGGCCTCACTTATCACTAAGCCAGTTAAGATGTGGCCACATTCATCACTAAGCCAGTTAAGATGTGGCCACACTCATCACTAAGCCAGTTAAGATGTGGCCACACTCATCACTAAGCCAGTTAAGATGTGGCCACACTCATCACTAAGCCAGTTAAGATATGACCACACTCATCACTAACCCAGTTAAGATGTGGCCTCACTCATCACTAAGCCAGTTGAGATGTGGCTTCACTCATCACTAAGCCAGTTAAGATGTGGCCTCACTCATCACTAAGCCAGTTAAGATTGCTCACTCATCACTAAGCCAGTTAAGATGTTGGCCACATTCATCACTAAGCCAGTTAAGATGTGGCCACCTCATCACTAAGCCAGTTAAGTGATGTGCCACACTCATCACTAAGCCAGTTAAGATGTGGACTTCACATCATCACTAAAGCCAGTTAAGATGTGGCCACACTCATCACTAAGCCAGTTAAGATGTGGCCACACTCATCACTAAGCCAGTTAAGATGTGGCCACACTCATCACTAAGCCAGTTAAGATGTGGCCTCACTCATCACTAAGCCAGTTAAGATGTGGCCAACTCATCACTAAGCCATTAAGATGTGGCCACACTCATCACTAAGCCAGTTAAGATGTGCCACACTCATCACTAAGCCAGTTAAGATGTGGCCACACTCATCACTAAGCCAGTTAAGATGTGGCCACACTCATCACTAAGCCAGTTAAGATGTGGCCACACTCATCACTAAGCCAGTTAAGATGTGGCCACACTCATCACTAAGCCAGTTAAGATGTGGCCACACTCATCACTAAGCCAGTTAAGATGTGGCTTCACTCATCACTAAGCCAGTTAAGATGTGGCCACACTCATCACTAAGCCAGTTAAGATGTGGCCACACTCATCACTAAGCCAGTTAAGATGTGGCCACACTCATCACTAAGCCAGTTAAGATGTGGCCTCACTCATCACTAAGCCAGTTAAGATGTGGCCACACTCATCACTAAGCCAGTTAAGATGTGGCCACACTCATCACTAAGCCAGTTAAGATACGCCACACTCATCACTAAGCCAGTTAAGATGTGGCCACACTCATCACTAAGCCAGTTAAGATGTGGCCACACTCATCACTAAGCCAGTTAAGATGTGGCCACACTCATCACTAAGTTAAGACACAAACACTTTCTCACTAACCAATTCATTCAACAACACTAATTTGTTATCACATTTAAGTTAGTTAAGATATAATAACATTCATTAATAAGCTAGTTATAGAGATTTCCATACTCTTTCCATAAGCCTTGTTAAATATCTAAACTTCTTCTCAAGGCCTAATTAAATTGACACACTCCCATTTTTTCAAGTAAGTATTTAAGAGCCACACAACAACCATTTTACATGTACGGAAAAGACAACGAAGCATATAATTCATCTTAAGATATGATTGTGATCTCATAACCTTTTTCATACCTGAAGCGTTTAAGATGGGTCCACGCCCACGCTATCAGGCAGAAGTGTGGCCGTGACCACCCGTAAGCCGTTGTGTGGACTATAGCTCATCTCTACCTTAAGATGAATTTAAAAGTCCGTTATTGAAAACAACATATTTGATTAAGAATTCTCCCACAAAAATGTTGATGGTGTGCATTTATAACCATTTAAAATTGGATGGAACAACTCATCATAAAAAATGATTATGAACACACTCCTAAGAGTTTAGTGTTCCACATTTATCTATAATACATTATAAATTGGCAATAAACTAAGAGAAGAGTCCAATCATCACTAATAAATCAAACATATAAGCATTAAATTACATATATAGATATATAAGATGTACTATATACTATACATAATATTGTACATATATATACATTAAGATTATCTATCATAAGCAGTATAGATTGTCATCATACTAAGCAGTATATAGATTACATATATAAGCATTATAATAGTACACTATACTAATATTAGATTGTATCATCACTAACTATTAAGAGTGGCCAATCATCACTAAGCACTAAGATGTGGCCACACTCATCACTAAGCTAGTTAAGATTGGCACACTCATCACTAAGCCAGTTAGATGTGCCACACTCTCACTAAGCTAGTTAAGATGTGCCACACTCTCACTAAGCCAGTTAAGATGTGGCCTCACTCATCACTAAGCCACTTAAGATGTGGCCACACTCATCACTAAGCCAGTTAGATGTGGCCTCACTCTCACTAAGCCATAAGATGTGGCCTCCTCTCACTAAGCCAGTTAAGATGTGGCCTCACTCATCACCAACAGTTAAGATGTGGCCTCCTTATCACTAAGCAGTTAAGATGTGGCCACATTCTCACTAAGCCAGTTAAGATGTGCCACACTCATCATAAGCCATTTAAGATGTGGCACACTCATCACTAAGCCAGTTAGATGTGGCCACATTATCACTAAGCCATTTAAGATGTGGCCACACTCATCACTAACCCAGTTAAATGTGGCCTCACTCATCACTAAGCCAGTTGAGATGTGGCTTCACTCATCACTAACATTAGATGTGCCTCACTCATCACTAAGCCAGTTAGATGTGGCTTCACTCATCACTAAGCCATTAAGTGTGGCCACATTACACTAGCCATTTAAATGTGGCCACACTCATCACTAAGCAGTTAAGAGTGGCCACATCATCACTAAGCCAGTTAGATGTGCTTCACTCTCACTAAGCCAGTAAGATGTGGCCACATCACTAAGCCATTAAGATGTGGCCACACTCATCACTAAGCCAGTAAGATGTGGCCACACTCATCCTAAGCCAGTTAAATGGGCCTCACTCATCACTAAGCCAGTTAAGATGGGCCACACTCATCACTAAGCCATTAGATGTGGCCACACTCATCACTAAGCCAGTTAAGATGTGCCACACTCATCACTAAGCCAGTTAAGATTGGCCACACTCATCACTAAGCCAGTTAAGATGTGGCCACACTCATCACAAGCTTAAGATGTGGCCACACTCATCACTAAGCCAGTTAAGTGTGGCCACACTCATCACTAAGCCAGTTAAATGTGGCCACACTCATCACTAAGCCAGTTAGATGTGGCTCACTCATCACTAAGCCAGTTAAGATGTGGCCACACTCATCACTAAGCCAGTTAAGATGTGGCCACACTCATCACTAAGCCAGTTAAGATGTGGCCACACTCATCACTAAGCCAGTTAAGATGTGCCCACTCATCACAAGCCAGTTAAGATGTGGCCACACTCATCACAAGCAGTTAAGTGTGGCCACACTCATCACTAAGCCAGTTAAGTGTGCCACACTCATCAAGCAGTTAAGATGTGGCCACACTCATCACTAAGCCAGTTAAGATGTGGCCACACTCATCACTAAGCCAGTTAAGATGTGGCCACACTCATCACTAAGTTAAGACACAAACACTTTCGTCACTAATACAAATTCCATCATCAATAAACTATTTGTTTTCACTTTAAGTTAGTTAAGATATAATAACATTCATTAATAAGCTAGATAGAATTTCCATACTTTTCCATAAGCTTGTTAAGATTCATCTAAACTTTTCTCAAGGCTAGTTAATATTCTTCCATTTTTTCAGTAAGTTATTTAAGACAGCCAAAAACACATTTTACTGTACGGAAAAGGACAACGAAGCATATTCATTTAAGTATATATTGGTTCTACCTTTTCATACCTGGAGAGGGTTTCATGGGTCCACGCCCACGCAGTCTGGCAGCGGGGGCGTTGACCCCCGGTATAGGCCTCGGGTGACTATAGCTTCTCTACTTAAGAATTTAAAAGTCGTATTTAAAAAAACATATTTGATTAAGAATTCTCCCAAAAATGTTGATGGTTGTGTTTATAACATTCCTTGTAAAATATGCGATGGAAAAAACCGGGATCAATATAAAAATGAATGTATGACCGACCCTTGTAGGTTTAGTGCTTCTTTTATATTATAATAATAATATAAATATAGCATTAAAACTGGAGAAGAGTCCAATGATCTTATATAAACAAACATAATATATATATATATATATATATATATATATATATATATATATATATATATATATATATATATATATATATATATATATATATATATATATAATATTTATATATATATATATATATATATATATATATATATATATATATATATATATATATATATATATATATATATATATATTGGGAGGTATCACCTCTAGAACTGTACTGGGGACCCTCATCTTTAGAGAAGAGAATAAACGTACTTCAGGTAAAACTTAAAGTTCTCCATGGAGCTGTTTCAATATTTTCTTCTCCCACCTTTCCCTGTATTCTATACTCTATGTGAACTTTATATATAGACAGAATACATTCCCCCCCCCCCCAAAAAAAAATGAATACATTGGTACTATATATCTAAGATTATGAATCTCCTCCAGTTCCTCCGAAGCCGGACATGAGCTTAGTATCCAGCAAGCATTTCCCCACTGGATGGCCACGCTAAGGCGCTGGAACATGAAATTGGCTTATGCCTCTCTAGTTGCCGATCTTGTACTCCTCCCTGTCATTAGTAGCTCCATTCTGTCGCTCGACACTGTGATGGATGTAGGTGTCAAGCAGCGTCGACACACAGGTATAATCCCATGTTTAAGAGTTTACCATTCTTCCAAGGATAGATAGTGATCTCGTCAGAGCTGTTTGCTGGGTTGTGAGTATTGATGGCTGCTAGTGGTCATGGCTCTCGGCTGGTTATCCAGCTGTAGTAAGGTTTCTCTTTATGATGTCGTTGACTTCATTGTGTCTTGCGTGCCATCCCTTGGTTTTGGAGCAGTTAATACCATGCAGACCATATTGGTCGGCTTGCACATTGCTGCAAATACACGTATATTTCGTGTGAATTGGGGTAGCGAGGCGGAGAGCCACTGCAATACGAAGGGTCTTAAGGTCGAGACATGTTCCCATTGCCGAAGTGAGAACTGTTTGGAGGAAGTCCCCAGAGTGAAGTGTGCTCGCAGCTTGGAGACTGGCAGTCTCATGTTACAGACCTAAGCATGTTGGCAGGCACCGTTTCAGCGATCAGCCATCCCAACTTGACTGTTTGTAGGCCAGTACTGTACTAGATTTTTTTCTAAGATCAAATCGACGGCATTGGGCCCAAGAGGAGCACCAAGGAGAGTGCTGTTGGCTGGATCAATGGTTCGTGCTCCTGGTAGAACAACACTAATATTCTGGATCATCTGTCGACTGGTAGAAACTATTTCACATTTGGTGGGGTTTAAAAATAGGCCCAGGCTTTCTCCCATGTCTTTAATTTTTCTGATGTCCTCTAGGAGAGATTCTTTAATGCCAGCTAGGGTACCGTCATCCAAGAACCAGATATTGATATCACACTGTGGCTAGACGGGGGATCGAACCAACGTTGTTTTAGCCTGCCTCGTGGGAAGCCAGTCAAAATTCAAGATGCTCTAATCCACTGGACTATGTAACTCTATAAACAACACGAGCGTAGTGAATTAGGTGAGCATCAAGCAAGCCTAGTTCGCTAGGCTCATGTTTCTTGTATTCAAACACCCTCTGCAGCAGTATTTTCTTCACCTGTAGACTTCTTTTGGCAACTGGAAAAACAGGTGAAGTACCATATAGACTGGTCACTGAAAAAAAAAATATTAAAACGTGTTATTGTCAGAAATATTATATTATTTTCATTATGTTCATGGAGAACCACTTTATACAATAGGGTCACACAGCATCTAGGAAACTGAAGGTGATCAGGATTGATCCAAGGAAAGAAGCTCCTATTTCTAGGATTAACATTTCTTCAGTGGCATCATGGCATCCACTTGATGGGTGACGACACTAAAGAATATTTAAAATATATGAGTGAGTGCTGTTTAAATATGATTTAAATATTTTTAGAAAATTTCGAAGACAGACAAAAACAGAGACAGCAAATTCAGGTAAATAAATCACCAAATATTTTGCCTAACTTTCTCTCTATAATTTTCTTTAACAACCCAATCCCAAGATATTAACAAAATCTTTAATTTGTCAACATGCAGTAATTACTGGAGACAGTGGAAGAAGTGGTGAGGTGAGGTGATCAGTCCCTCGGCTTTGATATGAGACGTTCAGTCCCGTAGTCTTATGTTTAAAACGCATACATGAAGATAGATACATATATAATGGAGCCACAGGAGAGGTGAATCATTCGAAAACACCATTACAGGTGGGCGGGACCCACTAGTGTTAGTAGGTCATGACCAAGACTTGAACCAGAGGTTAGAGTTATAGAAGATATCCTCAGTAACAAGATATAATTTAGGTCCATTGTCATGAATCATTATATTAATAATATCCAATACTGACAAGGTGATTTGCAACATCTAGTTCACTTTACTGATGATATATTTTGTCAATAGTAAATTTTTTTTATCTATTTCTGAGAAAGTATATTTGAGATTGTGGGAACAGTCTTGATAAATCTAAAGCATCTTCATGAAGATGGAGACCTATATAATAGAAACAGAAAAAAAAGTGAAGTTATTGAAGACGTGGTCCCAAGTGGGTGGAACCCATCAGTGGAAGTTGGTCATGACTGAGAGTTGGGCCAAAGGTTAGGAAAAAGAGTTGTAGAAAATACCTTGTTATAGAGGATGTCTTCCACAGCTCTACTTCATGACTTGCCTTTGCTAGAGGAATAATGTTCACCTGTAACAATGACTTCAGAGTCTGAATCATCCCTCGGGTTCCAAAATGTCTCTATTCTCAAACATCTGCTATCCTTTAAAACTGTTAGTTTCTGACACCATATTTATATCATTAGCTGTTTCATAAATCTTCATAATTTCTTCCATCACGGTCTTCCGGCGCTAACAGGGATTAAAAAAATATCCTTACCCATTCATTAATCACAAAATCTAGTTTTCAAAAGCCAGAATATGAACTGTACCATCATTCTCACCTGCCAAAAGCTTCACAGTCTTGTATAGTTTGTGGTAATTCACAGCCAACAGTCTCAGGCAGGAAGACAGTAAGACAACCAGAGACTAGTGACAACACACCAAATATAAGTAGTGGTAATGGCTTGTATGTATCAGCCTGTGGAAGACGTAAAATATAAGTAGTGGTAATAGCTGGTATATATCAGTTGATGGAAGACGTAAAAACACATTATTATTCATTATGATATTTTCAGCCATTGCAAACATCAGCGAAATATGACTGAAACATAAGCACGATAAAATTTGTGCATACAATATTTTCTGTAGTGTAGTTAAGAGTGCAGAACTTCCAGGGAATTAAATATATATATATATATATATATATTATATATATATATATATATATATATATATATATATATATATATATATATATTATATATATATATATACAAGCACTGATCTCTGGCTGAAGGAGACTCGAACCTACAAAACCTTGGAACAAGGTACGCAGTGCTTTACCAATCTACTCACACTGGACCAATACCTTGGAGTCCAGCTTGCGCTAGACTTTGATGCAAGGCAGCCAGCTCTCAGGGAGAAGGCTGTAAGCCTTCTCCCTGGTACTCCAAGGTATTGGTCCAGTGTGGGTAGATTGGTAAAGCACTGCGTACCTTGTTCCAAGGTTCGTAGGTTCGAGTCTCCTTCATCCAGAGATCAGTGTTTGTGTATATTTCGCCTGCTCTTGCGAATTCCTTGCATTGTTAATATCTCTAGTAAGGCTGATGCATGCAGGGGATGAGATGAAAAGCTGTAAGCCTTCTCCCTGAAAGCTGGCTGCCTTGGATCAAAGTCTAGCGCAAGCTGGACTCCAAGGTATTGGTCCAGTGTGGGTAGATTGGTAAAGCACTGAGTACCTTGTTCCAAGGTTCGTAGGTTCGAGTCTCATTCAGCCAGAGATTAGTGTTTGTGTATATTTCGCCTGCTCTTGCGAATTCCTTGCATATATATTACATATTCATATATATATATATATATATATATATATATTTATATATATATATTATATATATATATTATATATATTTTTAAAATATATATATATATTTATTATATAATGTCGGGGCCAAAATATGTAAAAATTGGTCAATTAGAAAAGAACTCTTTTAAAAAATTAAGTCCTTTCTAAAATTTTCTCTTTTACTTTTTAAAGGGATATATTTTTTCATTAAATTTTTTTTTTATTTTTCACACCGGCCGATTCCACCCCGGCAGGGTGGGGCCCAAAAAGAAAAACTTTCCCCCATTTATTCACTCCATCCACTGTCTTGCCAGAAGGGTGCTTTACACTACAGTTTTTAAACGGGAACATTAAAACCCCCCCTTTTAGAGTGCAAAGGGACTGTACTTCCCATCTCCAGGGGCTCAAGTCCGGCCTGGGCCCGGGTTTCCCCGAAACCCCTTCATTTAAAAAGTTACTTTGCTTTACAAATCCAACAGCCCCGTCAAGTTTAAAAAAATTTGTCTCCATTCATCCTATCAAAAAACGCTCACGCATGCCCGCTGGGAAATCAAGCCCTCGCACACAAAACCTCCTTTACCCCCTCCCTCCAACCCTTCCTAGGGGCCCACCCCTACCCCGCCTTCCTTCCAATACAGACTGATAATCTTTTAAGTCATTTTGTTTTGCTCCATTCTCTTACATGTCCGAACCCCCCTAAAAAACCTTCCCCAAACCCTTTGGACAAAAAATTTTTGGGAATCCCGCACCTCCTTTTCCCAACTTCCAAAAATACGAATTCTCTGCATTATATTCACCAAAAAATTGCCTCAGGCATGACATCTCCCTGCCCCCAGCCTTCTCCTCGCTGCAAAAAATTCTTTACCCACGCCTTAAAACCCAAAATAAGAGCGTTGGTAAAAAATATTCTCTCATACTTCCCCTCTTTTTCCTCCCAAAGGGCAAAGTTCTTTGTCTCCACAGACTCCCCAAGTGCCCCCACTCACCCTTTTTTCCCCCCATCCAAATTTTATGATTCACAACTTTCATAGACCCATCCCCTGGGCCGTCCCCTCCCAAATATCTTTAATACGTTTACCTCCCTCCCCTACTCTCTCCCTCCCAAACTGATTTCAATTTTTTATCACCTAATCTTTTTGTTATCCTCATAACCTTACTCTTTCCTGTATTCAAACCCTTTTAATTTTTTCTTTTGCACACCCTACCAAATTCATCCACCAATCTCTGCAACTTCTCTTTAGGAAAAACTCCCAAGAGCCCGTGTTTTTAAATTTTTTTTGCCCAAAAAGCAGCTGGGGATTTAAATCCCACTTTGGGGTGTTGGGTTCTTTATCTTTTAAAATCCACGCCTCTTGCCCAAAACCCCCGCATTTACTTCTCTTAAAAACCCTCCTTGTTCACTGCTACCTATTCTTCTTCTTTAATTCTTTCAATTAAAACTTACCATAACTTTCCCGGGTCACTCAACAGATTACCCCCCAAATTTTTGCACTCTCTTTTATCCCCTTTGCCTTTATACAAAGGAACTATGCATGCTCTCTCCAATCCCTGGGGTACCTTACCCTTTTCCCAAAACATTTATTAAATAATTGCACCAAACCACTAAAAACTAACCCCCACTGCTTTTAACTTTTTATCTTTACCCCATCAACCCCCGGTCCCTTTTACCCCTTTCTTTTACCTACTCCCTCAGAATTCCCCCCACACTCACAACTGCTTTTCCCTCACCCCTACAAGTTTATTCCCTTCCCCTTTTCACAAATACAGTTCCCTTCTTCATCAACATTTAAAAATTTCCTCAAAATTTTCCCTTTTCCATTTTCCCAATACCTCTAACTCTCCTTTTAAAAAAAACTCCTCTCCTTTTTTTAAACGACAAATCCATTTGTTCTCTGGGTTTTCTTAACTTTTTAATCTCACTCCAAAACTTTTTCTTTTTTCAAAAAATTTTTTGATAACATCTCCCCCCACTCTCTCATTTGCTCTCTTTTTACTTGCTTCCCCACTTTTTAACTTTCTCTTTTTCCCAAAATACTCTTCCTCCTTAATCACTTCTATTTTTGTAAAAACTCTCATAGCTAACTTTTTCCCCCCTTTACTCTCTTTACTTCTTTCCACCAATCGCTCCTCCCCCTCCTGCACCCCTTTCCTGTAAAAACAAACTTCTGCTGAACACTCTAAACTCATTTTAAAAAACCCACCCCCCTCCTCTTCGACCCCCCTTGCCTATGCTTCCCCTTGCCCATCTATCCTCCAATAGCGTTTATATCTTACCCCCAACTGCCCCCCTCTTTTAGTTTATAAACCCTTACTCTCTCTTCCCTGATGCTTTATTCTCCTTTTTATCCCATCTACCTTTTACTCTCAGTGTAGTAAACAGAAAGTGATTGATTATTGTGGCCCCTTTTAAACATGTACATCCTGAAGTCTATCAACGTTTTTTTTCTACCAAAAACATAACCAACAAACTACTGCATTTTGCCTACACATATGTGTAACTATTTACCTCTTTTTCTTAAAAAAATGTTTACCTATAAAATAAAACCCCTTTTTAACAAAGTTAATCAAGGGTCCCCTTACATTTTAAACCCGGCACCCCAAACTTACCTACCCCCACCCCCTAAAATTTCTCCTACTTTAGCATTAAGTCCCCTACCACAATTCTCTCTACTTGGTTCAAAGGGCTCCTATACATTCACTTCATCTCCCCAAAAACTCTCTCTCTCCTCTGCACCTCTCTTTCCAGGGCATACACACTTATTATGACCCACTTCTCGCATCCAACCTTTACTTTAAAAACCACATAATTTTTGAATTTACACATTATTCCTTTCTCCTTCCAAACGATCATTTTAAAATTTTCGCTCCCCCCCTTTGCTTAACTCCTCAGATACTCCCGATTTAATCCCATTTATTTCCCCCCACTGAAACTCTCCTACCCCCTTCAGCTTTTTTTCGTTAGGGCCAGGACAACCCAACTTTTTTTTTTCATCATAAATCAGCAAACACTGTTTCGTCATCCGCATAATCCCCGCACATTTTAAACAACCCAGTTTTATAAGTTTTTCTTTTTTCTTTTTTTTAGTAATTGTATACAGGAGAAGGGGTTACTAGCCCTTTTCTCCCCCCATTTTAGCCCTCATACACAGCTGGCTTCGGGGGAAAGATTTTTTTTCCCTTCCCCAGGGCAATGAAGAAATAAAAAAAAACAAGAGCTATTTAAAAAGGGGGAAAAAACCCAGATGTAGTAAAAAATAATCATGTTGCGTGTCTGTGAAGTGTACCAAAGTGTAAGTAGGAGTAGCAAAATTCCTGTTTTTAGCGGTTTTTTGAGAAGAAAAGAAACCAGCAACTACCATCATGCAAAAAGTTACAGGTTTTGTTTTACAAATCTCGGGAGGACGGGTAGTATTCCCTGGGGGGTTTCTGTCTCCAAAACACTGTATAAATTTTTAATTTTGCACCAGAAGAATCTTAGAAAACTTACCTAACCTTATTATAACAAGAAAATTTATTTTTAGCCTAACCCAACTAAATATATTTTAGATTTGTTTACAATAATTTAATACTAAACAAACACAGTGAAATATATTTTTTTTCGTTAGGTTCAGAATGATTTTGGCGAAATTATTGCATACACAAATTTTCGCTTGTCCTATATGGCAAGATGAGCGTTGCTATTTAAGCCAAGATCGCAAGTTCTGCCTATTCGGCACGACATATATATATATATATATATATATATATATATATATATATATATATATATATATATATATATATATATATATATATATACTTAAGTCTCCGCACTGTCGCTTGATCTTCAGATAGTTCCAGACTTTGGAACAGAACTTCTCCAGGCTGAGGGACTGACAACCTCAAATCTACGACTTCAAGGGTGATGGACTGATTACATCATCTTCACATCTCTACTGTTCCTGCCTACTTTATGTATTCGACTGAAGAAGCCTACTGTGTAGGCGAAACGTTTCGGAATAAAGTTGCCTAACTGTTGACTATGTGTCTTACCTGCCAACCTGTCGGTATTGTATACCATTTTATACTCATATATATATATATATATATATATATATATATATATATATATATATATATATATATATATATATATA